ATTTGGTGCGTATAAATTATTTGTAAATGAAACAATAATAAAAATTCTATTTAACTAGTAGTTATATTTCAGGAACTATAATTCGTTATAAAAATTATAAATTATTAGTAAATGAATACTAAATAAAATATAAGTAACTTTAATTTCAATTACAAATTTGTAATAATTGTACCAAAATAAATATGTAATTAGAAACATATAAATTTATTAATACAAAGCGAACTTGAAATAAAAAATAATTTAATTATAGAAAAAAATTTGATTAGTCTATTGGATGTAGAATTGAGTATGTTTATGTACATATACATGTACGACGTAGTTACGTTATATATGTATATTCATGTATAATTGTACATATACTGTACGGCGTGCATATCAAACTGATAAAATCGCTGATCTGTCATACAACATGTACTTTGATTTTGATTACAAAGCTACTTATTGAAGAATAGGATAAATAAATTAACCACGTTTAAAAAAGTATGGCATTATGTATGTATATAATACTTAAAATTTGATTGATATTTATTAACATTTGTATTTTTTGCAGCTAATATATATACGTGAACATAACTTATTGAACATAATGTCTGCCAATGATTATGAATCGATGATTCAATGGCATCCGGAAATGATATTAATTTCTGAGTCACCAATCATTTGGCAGGGATTTTTGACAGTATTCTGCCGATCTAATTTCGGTCGTAATGTTCGAATCAAATTGAAACTGACTGTACCAAATTATCCATCCTTACATGATGCAAAAATTAATTTCGGAAAAGAAATTGCACTCATAAGCAACTACATTAATTTCAGTAATCAAGTAAAGGATCTAATGTCAAATGCAAGAAAAGTTTCATTGTTTTTGAGACATTTACAATCACTTATAGTAAGTGGCATAACATAAATGTTATATGTTATATTAACTCCTTGATTAACTTCTTATATTAACTTCATGGATTTATAGACAATAAAAAGTATAATTCTATACAATGGAAAATATACTTTAGATATTTTCATTGAATTTTGATAGTTCAGTTATCAAGGGGTTATTAATAATTCGTTACTTATACTTCTTAATTTTACATTTTACATTTTGATAATTATATATAATTAATGATATTAAAATATGTAAACAGAGTAATTACATTGATGTTTCTTACATTGAAGATAACATATATAATGTCACGGATAGCAATGCATTAGACATATTGCAAGAGTTGAAATTTGTTCTCGAGATTCCATCTGTATGTATGCAATTTGTAATACTACTATCTTTAAATCGCAATAACTAGTAAAACTGAACTTACATTACATTAATTCATGTTCTTAAAGGAGGTCCAATTATTATCTGACAATTCTTTGAATACGTTTAAGTTATCTTTGAACAATGTTTCACTGCAATTACAAAGGACAAAGTGCAGTCTTCGTCCATGGATTGTTATTCAGTCTGACTTGCCTGAAATTCCTGGATTTTGCCCTTTCGAAAAGAATGTGTTAACGTTGAATGTAGCACGTAACAAGTTCAAATTACAAGTGGAAATGCTTGAAACCACTTGGTCAAATCTACAACAAATTGATAAGTAAGTCAGTCTTATAGGGTATCTTATTTTATTTTCATAGATATATATCTATAAGTTTCTTAACAAAACATAAATATTATTTTTTACTATACAGGCATTGTTGGGTACAAGATCCATTGCAACCAAAACCTTGTCATCTTCACCGCCGAATATTTTTAACACCATCATTATCGATGCTTATAAAAATAAATCCCTTGAATCCTATGGATTTTCCTGAAATTAGATTCATGGGCAGTAAGACAGAAGTTGAGCTACAAAATAATTTAGTGTCTAAGAATGTTCACGTAAGTATGTAAATCTATATCCGATTATAAAATACATATTAAGAATCTCACTTTATAATATAAAAATATTACATACTTTGGTACTTTTTAGAATTGGAATGCAACAGATAGTATTATAGACAATTTATTGATGTTATTAAATGTAACAGTATTTCCTAAAGTAGAAGTAAAGGAGTGCGTAGAAGATGAAGATGCTATTGTTGCTGATCAAGAATGTTGCATTTGTTACTCTATGGTATTAGACAATGAAGTGCTACCTAGTAAAGTCTGCAGTAATGAAAAGTGTAGAAGACACTTTCACACATCTTGTTTATTGCAAGTATGTTTCTTTAATTCTAAGGAATTGCATAATAAAAGTTTTAATATAACATTTAAATATTTATGTTTCAGTGGCTGCAAGCTGTTCCTGGTAATCATATTATATTTGACCATATTCATGGTAGTTGTCCTCACTGTGAAGAAAGTATATCGTGTTGTATTAAATAAATTTTTCAATCAAATATCATTACCTGAAGTCAATTACACGATATTTTTGTTTGATAGTTTATTATTTAAATACGTGTATACAATTACAATTCGTATTTCTCGCCCATTGTTCAACAGAATTATTGAATTCTTGAGAACCACATATTAGAACTAATTTTGTACTATTTACATCCTCTTTAATAATTTGATAAACTGATTCTTCATTTAAGCGGCCAGATTTTAGGTCTATACCATGAAGATTACGAACTTCATCTGTAGTATAAACAACAAATATGTTTTTAATTAAAAATATTATATTATAATATCTATTGTTATATTGACCTTAAATTTTAATCTTCTTTACAACTGTATTTATTAAGTAATTAAAAGATATAATGTAATTTATATTTTAACATACTTAACAATTGTGATATATATAATACAGATTTGAAATTCCAATAATCTGAGAAAATTTGCAATTCCTTTTTCAAAGGAATCTGCGATACTTTTCGATAACATCCTACAAAATGGATCCTTGTTTCTTCAAGTTCATTATCTATAATTGACTTTATTACAGGATACATAGCAGTTATTCCAGATCCCATACAAAACATAATTATATTCTGAAAACTAAAATAAACTACCAGTATTTTTCAGGTAAGTATCTTATTATTTATCTTCCATTGACTTAATCCCAGTTTTCAAACCTGTTACGCTTATACTTGAAATTTCCATATGGCCCTCTTATACGAATTTCATCACCTATTTTTGCATGTTCTAAATACATACTAAATTTTCCATTATGATAAAGCCTAACTAAAAATTGTATACTATCATCTGTGTAATAAAGCGGAGTAAATGGCCTAGTCGCATCTTGTAAATGTAACATGACATGTTGTCCTGGTTCAATTAATAAACATACATCGTTTTTTTTATCACTTTCTATGAATCATATAGAAAATTATATTAAAATCATATATTTATCGACAAAAACTATTGCGTAAAAAGTTTACCTTGATATCTTAGAGCAAGTAAAATATAAGTATCTGCAGCTTCTTGTATGTCTGTTATTACGAAAATTTTGTATGAAAACTGGCACAACATATTTTTACTGATTTGTACTTTTACATTTTCTTTCTTTTTCTTTTCGTATTCTTCCAATAATTTTGCGTGTATATCGAAGATACAAGGATTACATCCATTATGACAACAATCTTCATCTAATGGTGTTGCTGGTCTACCGTTATCATTGTCATCATCGCTAGTATTATCGATATTCATATTGTATTATCTTGTTTCACATGTAATAAACACTATCACGAAACATGATAATAATATTGTTTTTTACTATACAGGCAATGTTGAGTACTAGATTCACGTAATAGTTAACCAAACTTTAAAGTGCAATTAATTATCTTTCGTAATGTTATCATCTGTTTGGAATCTGGTAGATATGGTAGATTTTTTTATGCTCTAATTTTGTTATTAATTAATGTTTTTAGGTGACCCTGTATTGGACACATATAGGCGACGGTGATGCCTCTTTTGGAGAAAAGATGAAGCTCCGTTCGGGGTCCGTACAGCGCCAATTAGTAAATGGCAAAATGCTCAAACTGTTAGCCAAATCCGACTGTTGATAATTTGGCTAATAGTTTGAGCATTTTGTCACTTACTAATTGGCGCTATACCGAGCCCCGAACGGAGCTTCATGTTTTCACCGATAGGGGCGCCATTGTACAGACGTACACAATGCAACGCACAACACAGGCCTACAAATAAAAACATTAAAATTATGACATGTAAAACAACATAACTATCAGCGCATGATCGTTCACTCGTTTAAAATGTTGAGATAGATTTACGGAAACATGATTCATGAGAACGTGTCACGTAATTTAACATTAACAATGATATTGAGTTATCTGTCATTTATAGCGGATGACGTAGCATGTCGAAATGCATGAAGAATTAAACAATGATAAACAGTCAGACGTGACGATTCAGTCAAAAATTGCAATGCACAAACGGCAGTTAATTATGCAAAGTTCTGTATTTATTTTGTAACATTTGGTGCTAGTTACATGTATATTTTTTAAGGAGAAGTATATACATATAAGTTCAGCAATAAAATGGACCAAAGAATTAAAGAATGGAGACGTTATGTACTTGTACAACCACCTATAATGATATTAATATTTGCTCAAGCATTAACAAGTAATTACAACAAATTTTCTTTCAATTTATCTGTACTTATATTATGTATTATGATATATTTAAATTTCTATGATAAATTATGAAAATATTTTAACTAATTATGCGTTAAATGCTGTGTTTAAAGTGTATAAACAATACAGTAGTATGTATTTTAAATTAGTATTGTTAAGTATCTCAAGTAAGTTCAACCTGGTGTAAAATAATCTATACTTAGAATAGTTTAGTGTTTAAAATAAATT